TTTCCTTGCTTTTTCTGTTGTTGATTTCTACTTTTATGGCTTTATGGTCAGAAAAGATGCTTTGTAATATTTCAGTGCTTTGGATTTTGTTGAGGCTTGCTTTATGGCCTAATATGTGGTCTATTCTGGAGAATGTTCCATGTGTGTTGGAAAAGAAAGTATGCTTGGCTGCTGTTGGGTGGAGTGTTCGGTATATGTCTATGAGATCAAATTGGTTGATTGTAGCATTTAGCTCTCGTGTGGCTTTGTTGAGCTTCTTTTTGGATGTTCTGTCCTTTGTTGAAAGTGGTGTGTTGAAGTCTCCTACTACTTGTGTGGAGCTGTTGATCTCTCTTTTCAGTGCTATTAGAGTTTGTTTTATATGTTTTGGAGCCCTGTCATTGGGTGCATAAATATTTATTATAGTTATGTCCTCCTGGTGTATTGACCCTTTAATCATTGTATAGTATCCTTCCTTATCCTTTGTGGTGGATTTTACTTGAAAGTCTCTTTAGTCAGAGATTAATATTGCCACTCCGGCTCTTTTTTGAGTGTTGTTTGCTTGATATATTTTTTTCCATCCTTTGAGTTTTAGTTTGTGTCTTTAACATATATCTCTTGTAGGCAGCATATAGACGGATCATGTTTTTTTATCCAATCTGCCACTGTCTGTCTCTTTATTGGTGCATTTAGTCCATTTACATTCAGCTTAATTATTAATAGTTATGAGTTTAGTGCTGTCATTTTGATGTCTTTTTTTGTGTGTTGTTCACAGTTTCTTTGTTCCACTTAATTTTCTGTGCTGAGTCGTAGTTTTCTTTATCTATTTTCTTTTCATCGTTGATTTTGTGTTTGCTGAGTCTTTATATTTTTCTCGTTTTTTATTTTGCCTTGTAGGATTGTTAGTTTCCTTTGTGGTTACCTTAATATTTACCCCTATTTTTCTAAGATACCAGTCTTTTGTTTCTTTGTATCGCCTTGACTCCCTCTCCATATGCAAAGTCTATGTCTACATTTTTTAAGTCCCTCTTTTTTGTTTTAATGTTGTCATCTTTTACATATTGACATCTGTTTCCCTATTTTCAGTGTTTTA